GACATTTTTTTCGTGGTTTTGTATTAGACCCGTCGTCCATTTATTTGTAAGTCAATGTTTCCAACATATATATTTTTTTCATTTTTTTTGACAACATTACATACGTTGCTCTGATCCCAAAGCAAGTAGCTAAAGCACTTGTGTTATGAAAATCGGAAACAACGACGATACCACAATACATGAATAGGTTTTTTTAAATACCAAGTATAGGGACGAACAAGTCGTGCGCCTGGAGGTAAGAGAAAAGTCTATCCATAACAGTTGCAGTGCCACATGTGCCTGTAATTTCACCAGCACCCTGTCAAAACCGAAACACAGTATTGCTCACGTTACTGCTTAGCGGGAGAAATAGATAAGGCTACATCTCGATCTACACATTGACTCCATCGTTGCCAAAGGGTTTCGAATGTATAAATTCGTCATGAGAACTGCTACCGACTTCTCTCGTCTATCAACTTATCTTTATACATTAGTCTGATTCGACCTCAAGTGGAATATGCGTGCTCAATTTGGAACCCTTACTATAGAAAACACTCAGAACAAATTGAAAAAATTCAAGCTAAATTATAAAATATTTAGAAAAATTACGTCATACGAGGGTTTACTATCTAAGTTTGGAATGCTAACACTTCACAATAGACGAATGCTTCTTCAATCTGTAACACTCCATAGACTTTGTCACAATTTAATTGATTGCCCGGATGTTGTGCAACATATTAGATATAATGTACCAATGAGAGATTATCGACGGCGAGTGCGCTCCTACTCGTTGTTTAAAACGGCGACCTGCAAAACAAATGCTGGCAAGCGAGTTCCTCTACGTCGTATTCTTTCTCATTACAATGATTTGTTTAGCAATATTGACATAATCCATGTGCCTGCTTCTAAATTTAAAAAAGCTATTATTGATGCCCTGAGCTAATTTCTTATTTACCTTTTATTTATTTTAGTTTATTGGGCACTACCCATCACACACGACACTTTTAATTTTAATTCTAATAGTAACTTGTGGATAACGCTGTTGATTGTACGTGTACCTATGTTAGAAATATTTAACTCTGATTGTAAACATTTCATGTACAAGTGTTTGTTATCACTGAAAAATAAATAAATAAGGCAGTAGGGGCAAGACGCACTAAATATCGGATACTTTTTGAACATTCGAAAAAAACACTAATATAATATTTAAAAATTTATATTTAATGCAGTCACAGTCATTGTCTATCTAAAGACTTTACATTAGAAAATGAATTAAGGTTATACCTATGTTCATTTATTTTTATATAATTATTTTGTTTTTATTAGAAAAATCGACGATGCTTTCACATGTACCCTAATAATGGATTCCCGTACAGGGTATATATACTATTCAATATTGGATATTCAGTATAGGGTACACTATATTAACCAGGGCATGTATTTAAATGGTCCTTTTAAAATTCAACATTTAAATATGAAAGACACTATATAACCACTGATGTAGATACCCCAATATCAGATATCTAGTATTGTGGATACCCAGGTATCCAATATTGAGGTAACCACCTCCTTGTACAATAATCGGTTTCGAAAATTTCACCCTGCGCAATTATCGCTAAAATTCTGTATTCTATCTATGTGCCTAGCTATTATATAATACTGTCACAAAATATAATATCACTTACAATACTTTAACAGCGTTCTGAATTCAAGATCCGAAAAATCGTCGAACGGAATAATACAATTTGAATGTTGACAGCGAACTGAAGGCAAAAAATTGCGCAGACAACCATTGACATAAGGTCAATGCAGACAACTAACAAAATATTGGTAACTTGCATTGACGAAGTAGTTTTAGCTTTTTAATAAAGATGGTGTTGTTTAGTTTTCATTATAGCGGGGTATCCAGTATTGTGCACGTATCCAATATTTGGTATGTCTTCCTTACTTCCCCGGACGAACCTCACACAACTTACTCTACTGCTACTAAATATTATTATGCTAGTAAATATATTTGTATACAACTCCAAAAATAGCCAGTATGCCATATTTAAAAATAGCTTTTCTATTTATAGATGAATATCAAATTAAATTGCAATAACTGAGTAATTGTTTCGTGGTGGTGGTGTGGTGAAAAAAAATCGCCATTCGGTATCAAAGTTAGTTGTGTATACATTTTTCGTTTTCCATCGTCTTTTTTTTTTATTTTGTTATTAAATAGACAACAAAACAGACAACAAATTACATTGAATGAGTGAAAAACTATACAAGTGCAAGTTGCTTTACTACTCCTTCAAATACTCTGGATCTTGGAACAATAATATTTGGATATCCAAATCAATGTTTTTCATAGATATCTCGTTGTGAACACATTCTTACAAGGGGATTGTAAAAGGAAGTATTATTCCTGTATGTCCGCAAGTAAAACGTCTTGTTGGGTATTCGGGCCTCGTACAGAGAGTTATTTATATTAGATTTTTATATAAGAGTTAAGGAAAATCAATCTCACCATGAAGAACTTTATGCAAGTATGTGAGGTACTGTTTCTTACGGCGAACACGTAAGGAGGTCACTATAAATTCGACAAGTCTCTCACTATAGCCAACGAGGCTGCGGCCATAACCACATTTGTAACTAAGTATCCTAAGTGCTTTTCTTTGAACGCTTTCTACACTATCCGAATGGACTGAGTAGCAGGGAGACCAGATGTGTCAAATGCTTCCCATTGTTTGTCGGGTTAGCGGTGCTGGCTTGCGCCTGTCCATTAATCCGTAGTGTATGTATATGTGCTTGTTTAAAAAAATACTTTCAGCGTATTGTCCATGATATGTGCCCCAAAAATTTAATGTTACCCAGTAGCATTAGTAGTAGAGCTTCTTGTGAAAGAGTTCGTCCAGGGAGCTACTGCCACCTTACCTATTACTGCCGTCAAGCAGTAATGTCAGCATTATTGTGTCCCGGTTTTCAAGGGTTAAGGGTGCTGGTGAAATTACAGGGACATGGCTTGTTAACTTATGTCTCGAAGTGACGGGCGCAGTGATAATAACCCTCAGATCTTTGCGATTTAAAGCTCTGAGTGGCACTGCAACTGTTATGGACAGCTTACCATCAGGCGCACGACGTGTACGTCCCGTCACTTGATATTATATTTTTTTTATAATATTTCTTGCACAGGAAAAAGCACAGAATACATTAAATAAAAGGAAAAAACAAACAAAAGGTGCTGCTTATTTCTATGAGAAATTTCAATGTTTAATATGTATTTTAATTTTTATATCGCGTACAAAAAAATATCCGTATAGATTTATGCACATTGTTTTGTTTTGTGGCTGTTATGAATTATTATTTTTTATTTTGATAGTATACGGGTAAGGTACAATAAAAGCTTAAATACTAGAAAGTAAAGAATAAAAAGTAATAAGTACCAGGATCTCGGCTCCGACTACCTATTTACAGCCTTTGGAGTTGAAACCTTTGGCCCGTGGGGTCCCAGTGCCCTTCATCTGTACAAAATTTTATATAAAATATTAATAGACTGTCTAGGAAACCCTGGGTCTGGCAGCTACCTTGCCCAACTCATTAGCATGGCCATACAAAAGGGTAACGCTGCCAGCATCTAGGGCACCTTGCCGCGGGGACCCCATTTTATTAATATTATTTAAAAATCCTTTGTTTTGTTAATTGTGAATTTAAATGTGAAGTAAATAAATTAAAATGGGTGCATCAGGGACACCAGTGGAAGTTCAAGCTCTACCTACTTCAATAGGAGACAGGCGTTATCTTATGTACTCGTATATATAGAATAATAAAAAACAACTGATTTTTAAGTTGCAAAGAATTCCTTCCATTTTTCCACAATTTAATACAGAAATGACATTTAGGACAGACGCTGTGACTTAACCCGTGTCGGCCTGTTAAAATTTTAGCCGCGAATGTTTCTTATAAAATGTTTTAATGTTAAAAGGTAAAGTTGAAAAGTTGTCTAACCTCTAGAGACGCTGTTTATAATTCAATTTTAAATAAATTAGAGACTCGATTAATAACGCGAAATACATTAAAACTGTCGAATTTGGAAATAAGATCTCCTTAGTTAATTAAAGCTCTCCAATTGATTTTACTTTCAATTTTGATTATATACTTTCTTACATTAGTTACGCGGTTGATGGAAGAAAGTATACAATTAATTATAATAATTATATACATGTATATTCTTTATAGTAAACACAATTAAAGTTAAAAATAATAAAAGAGCTTAATATTTTCTAATTAGCTTTGATTCTAATTAGCTTTGATTCTAATTAATTTGAAACGCTCTACATTTTATGACACATTTCCACTAACTTCAATAACACTGTCACTAAATAGTAATGTAATCTAAAGTTAAGGTTATAAATATTGACATGTAGGTAACCGTGGTGCTTAATATATTTTAATTCAAAACGGTTGTGTACCGTTTTGAATTAATATGAAAATGGGGAAAAAATATTATTCGAAAATCTTCTAGATCTATGCTTATTTTACCTCGTAAGCAATAATTGCGTTTCTATTTGAAAATGCGAGAAAATGAAAGAGTGCATTTTTGCAAAGTACAGCGTATAAGAATTGTCTTTCAGTCAATAAAAAATTAAAATCTTTTTTCGTTGTCCTTTAATGCAATAATACCAAAGCGTTATTAACAAATTTCTTATTTACGACATTCAAAGATAAAAAAAAATAAAGCGATAACAAAAGTGAATAGTTGAGATTATTATGCCACACTATCCCAGATTTGACTACCGCATGAAGCCATAAAACACGTAAATAATCACACCCCTACGACCCAAATCCAGTTCTGCGATAAAATCAGAAAAACAACAAAATATGTCGCCAAAACAACTCGTTCATCAAAGAACCCTTATTCCTTTTCATTGTAACCCGCAAACACCACAGATAACAATAACAGACTTTCTTATTAGATAAGACGAAAATTTCTTGTAACAATAAGTCGCTTTTCCAACCACAAAATGCATTTTCATACTCACCATGGAAGGAACCGGAGATTCCTGTTGATTTTCAATGAACGTAAACAAATGCACATTCCATCGTCTACACACGGTAATAAGAGTGTAAATCGTTCGTCAAACTCACACGCACATAGCACATAACTTTTAAATTTTCGAATTTCGAACGTGATGTGTTGGGAGCGGGTGCGCACGGTCGAGCGCCGTCGCGACCGGGGAGCTTATGGGCGCAGGGCGTGCGTGGATCGTGGACCGAGTGCTAGGGATGGCCAGTTCTCTCAATACCTGTTATTTTTAACAAGTACATATTATTGTAATTCCTATAAATTTGTACACAAAATTTTTTTGTTGTATATTTATTACTACAATTTTACACTGATAATACTAAAGAAACAACTTTGTGTTTTATACATTTCTGTTTTGATAAACGTATTTTTACAATATTATTATTAGATGCATAATTTGAAATAAAATATTAAACTCTCAAAATGACCGCATAAGTCATTGACTTACAATTATATGGACGTCGGGTCCGCGCTAAAAAGTGTCCGAACTTATAGGGCGTTAAAATCGTATACAGAGCGTCATTCACGCTTTAGTCTTCGTTTGTTCGACTGACAGCGAAGCAAGCAAAATTAGACAGTACTGCGATGACATTACAATTTAAATTCAACGTTTTAGCTTTTTCATATTCCTTTACATGTCACTACGTTTAAATAGGTTGACTTGGGACATTTTTTTCGTGTTTTTTGTATTAGACCCGTCGTCCATTTATTTGTAAGTCAATGGCATAAGTTTATAAATCATGACATTACAATCAGACAGCGTTTCGTTTCAAATCTATCTATTGTTTTTTCAATCGTGTGAAAGTACAGCTTCGAAAGATTAAGCTTTTGTTACACATACATAGCCCAACACTATTTATCCTCACCGACCATTGTGTACCATAATTTCATACGGAATTCCCCATAAAAATATTTATTTTGCTGCGTATTGCGTATTGCATAAATTGCGGGCACACGTAAACGTCGGAATTACAAATTCGGTGTATCTACTTCTTGGTTATTTCGTGAAGAGTCACGCGGTTTGCAATCTTAAACAAAACAAGACAAAAACAATATGAGCTTGTCTCAGGAGAGGATTAGGGCATATTCATAGGCAGTAGCAGTGGAGCTCCTTGTGAAAGAGTTCGTCCAGGGAAGTGCTTAAGTCCTTAGTGCTTCCGGTTTAAATTACACGCATATGGGAGTTGTTTACTTACATGTCAGGGCATCGGGTAGGCTGATCTGGGATCAGGACCTGACTGAGAAGGTTCTTGTGCGGGCTTTGTGCCCTTCCCTCCTAATCAAGAGGTTGATAGAGAGGCTCACTATAAACAAAACTAATGTAGAAAGATATGAGGCTGATCTTGCCCACTCTTTATTAGCACCCGATACTCCATTGATATAGTCCGCTGCATAAACTTTTAAATAAATATTTTATACACTAGCTTACGCATGATCCCTCAGATTTCCCGACCTCACAATTTTTGCCCTACGTCCCATTTCTTTTGGGGTCGGTCCTCCTAGTCCTCTTGTATCAATCTAGGGGCCTACCACAAACACTTAAAACAATATTACTTTACCCATACATTGACTTTTCGTACCATAACGAGCTTAAAGTAAGCTTAATAATGTTAAAACTATGATGTTTTGTGACTATTCATTCGCTCAGTTCGTACTATCACGAAACAATATTATTTTCACATTTATTGTCTAAATATTGGTTTGTAATGATTAAAAGTTAAGATGAACTTATTTATTTTCATAAATATCTTCTATATTTTGTCTATTTTTTTATTTAATAGTGCATAGGAAATAAGATGTTCATTTCGTAAAATTATGACACCGACATCTATATGCTCCTTGGCGACACTAACAGTTGACACTACACTATAATTCCGTAACTATCAAGACTCAGCTTGTCTCATTTATTTTTCTTCATGAAATTGCGGAAAAATAATTGAAAAAACGTAATTTTCATACATTGTATTACATACTTTTCTTTTTTTAATAGTTGAAATTCTCTGGATGTGAATAACATTAAGTACTTAAACATTATACTACGATAAGACGATTCGGAATATCAATAAAGAAAGAGATGGCATTATATAGTTCATATAGCGTTATTTCTTTCCAATTTTTAGTAATGAATAAGATTGTTTTTAGAAAGATTATGGTAGGCTCCCTGATTTTTGACTTAGCTCAGGGTGTACACTCATGTCTTCATATCTCTTTAGACGATTCCCATCCAAATTCAGTTTCAGTTCCCAACGACAAGATTTTCTTGGTCATGTTATTTATGTATACTCGGTTATGCCGACGCAATCGATTTTCTGTTAGTTTTTCCTCTATATTTTCACTTTAGTTGCAGTATAGTTCCTTGTGTATATGTTTGTTCAGGAAATATAAACTCTAAGTGGCACTGCAACTGCTATGGTAAGGCGTGTCGCTTAACACCAGCCGCTCGAATTTTTCGTTTCATCTCATAATGGTCGCTCAAATAGGTAAGGTGGCAGTACTTACCCGGACGAACATTTTCACAGGTAGCTCTACTGTACTTAAATATCATAAAACTTTTCTTCTAAGTACACCAGCAAATGTTAGTTATACATTAAAATTTAAAATAATACAATATAATAATTACGGGTTGTAACAAACCTACTTTATGTAATAGACGGCCTTAAGCCTGATTGTTCCCTTTTAGTTCTCTAAGAATCCGCTAGATGGCATTGACCCATTTGGCGTTATTTCTGAATCGCGGTGTTAAGATTTTCCCTCGAATGGTGACTACTCGAACACAATTTTGTTAATGGGAAGAGAAATCTGAGAATACAGAGAGCTCATTAAGGCAACCAGGAGTTGAGTCCCTTCTTGGGAACTGCTACCCGGATCTTCTGATATTTCGTACGCACATATAGGGTGAATAAACCTCATCTCGCGGAACAGTTTCCAGGAGTCGAATCCCTTCTGGGAACAACTGCCCGGACCTACCGCATATAGGGTGAAATTGTATCGGCGACATACAAGGTGAAAATAAAAATCTTCTGAACAATTTGGAGTTTCACTTGGCTTGTGTTGGTAACTTCATCCAACGGACTAAAGAACCACCCTCCTTTACAGGGTGCTTTTATCCACTCCATGTGATTCTTTATTCCGATTCTATAAGACTACAAGTAAATATCTATAGTTTTTAGTTTCACATAAAAAAAACCTTTATAAATCCATAAGGCGGTAGTAAAGTACCAAAATCGAATAATACTATCGTACTGAATATATTTCCACAAAAAACTTATAGCAAAATCAAATCACAGAAAAAGGAGTTTCCTTTTCAGAAGCGACAGCGAAAGTTAATAATAAACTTTTATTTGCGACAAGAACTATTAACTTACTTCTCTAAAATAAGATTACTCTATGGTCCTTGCCTACAATTTGTTGTAACAAATTTGGTTCTACTACTAAATAATATCATAAGAAGATTTTATTGGAATAGTTAGTGCAGTAATAGTATTTTTCACTGATTCCAAAACAAGAAGGACTGTATTTGTTTTTGTGTGTGTTATGTATCCAGATTTGCATAACACACATACCTAAAACGTCAGTTCAATGCACTTGCATTCGCGCACCCCGGAACGCGCGCCCCGTGCATTGCAACGTGATCGATGCAAAACTCGTCATTTTAATTATAATTATGAGACACTTTTCTGCCCAACGTTCCTAACATCAGACGTAGACTAAATTCCTTTAGTTAAGATCTTTTTCGTATAAGTACTTTTAGACCTAACGTACCTAACTTCGGACGTTCTTAAAATTGTTTAGTTTAAGAAATAACTTTGTGGAAATTTAATATAGTTATTCATCATATTTTCTCGTCTTTACTTCATCTCCACTGCGGCCACCCTATATAATTTGTGTGTATGTAAAGCGAGTTCGTAGATTTTTTTTACGTTGGAAAGAAAGTATCTCATTAACGATCCCATTCAAATTTGAAGAAAATGTTCCACCTCTAAGGGTAGCAAATTAGAGGATGAACCTAGTTCACTGAATTTCAAAAAAAATCATTTATTTCGTAGTCTATATCCACTAATATTAATTAATGAGATTCCCCTGTAGAAAGCCTCGAGGCGCAGTTACCTGCTTGGTGCCGTGACAGCTGCACCCAGCGCCTCACCATCTAAGAGTCCCTTCCAGCGGCAAGGGTGCTAAGGATGCCATTCGTGCTGCCTCGTTGCCGAGTCAGAAGTGAGGCACAACGCTTAATAAAATCACTTGTGACGTCTGAACGATCACACGTGGCTTTATTGTATATACCAAGAGTACGAAATTAGATTATATGAAATTAAATCATCCGTTGGACCTCGGCCACGGTTAACGTGCCCGCTGTACCCGAGCCAAGCGACAATGTCGCGAACTGACGACAAAATGAGCTGGAGGAAAGAAAAAAAAGTATTTCTCCTTTTTTTTACCAGTACCTAGGCTCCGCCTACCGATTTACAGCCTTTGGAGTCGAAACCCTTGGCCCGTGGTGGCCCGGTGCCCGTGGTGCCCTTCATCGGTATACAAAATTTTATCTTCAAATTTAAATGGCGCCAAAACTAAGGAATCATCAAAATCGGTTCACAAATGCTGGAGTTATCGCGTAACATACATACAAAAAAAGAATACAGTCGATTTGAAGATCTCCTCCTTTTTTGAAGTCGGTTAAAAAATTAATAGACTGTCTGGGAAACCCAACTGCCGGCAGCTACCTAGCCCTACGCATTAGCATAGCCACAAAGGAGGAACGCTGCCAGCATCTTGGGCACCTTGCCGCGGGGATGCAATTTTATTCATATAATTTCATCCTAGTTTTACTTTCTAGTATTTAAGTTTTTATTATATATTGTCTTATAAATGCTATTATTTAAGAATACGAAATTATGATCATTTTCGATCCGGTTTGAACTTATTTATATAAGATTTACCAACATTTGATTGCATTATTACAATCTTAATAAATAACGTAAGCTTACACCTTAAAACTAAATGTATCAAACAGTGGCAGGTAAATACCACTTGCATTTAGTAAAAAAAAAATACGTAATTTAATTTAACATCAAGTAAAAAGGAAAATCAATAACAATTAATAAACAACAATAAAAAAGCAAGAAAAACTAAAATAATAACTAAACTAACGCATTTTGTGAACTTCA